TTAATAAATGCAAATGGCACCAAGTACACGCTAAGCGATAGCCGTTGTTCTTAACTCATATAATTATTGAGTATAAATCCAGGCCCCAGGAAGCTCAGGGTTGATACAGTGTGCAGAATGGCAGGGCTAGAGAAAACCTCTCCTTTGTCCCTGAACTTCACTGAAGACTGACCCCTGACCACGGTCACAGAGGCTATCTCTAGCCCAGAGTGCGTTATAAACTTTGGATTTGTGCCTGAATACCTTTCAGGCCCCGTGGGCATTGCCTGGCTCACCACAGACCCACCCACTCTCTTGTTACCTAGTGGTTTTCTGACTGTCCCCTGAGGGCATTAGGGCTTGTGACCTCATGAGGCCCTCATCTCTCTAGTCTCCTACCTATATTAAAACTCCAGATCCCAACCACCACCTCATCTCCTGCCTTGGCCGATGCCTGGGCTCCCGGCCCCGACCTCATGATTATTCCCTACCCCTGACCCCATCACCTGGACCTCTCGCACTGCTGCTGACCCAGACATCCTGAAGCAGATGTCCTTCCCCGAGTCTTCTGAGAGGGAGATGCCCACTCCCCCACAGGGTCTGGCCTGGGGCCCCCTGAAGACCTAGAGCTGGTCCAGACCTTCCAGAGAATGTACCAGAAAGTCTCAGCATGGTCTGCGTGTCCCCAAGCCCTGGGCCCCCAGGCTTGAGCTCCCTGGGATAGCTGTACCAGTTGTGAGCAGAGGCCCAGCCCCAGCTGCTCTGGCTGAAAACCCAGCCCCGTGCTTTGGCAGCCTGGAAGCAGGGCCAGCGCCGCCCACTGAGAGCGCTGGGCCCCTGCCCTTCTGGAAGTGTGTTGTCAGGGCAACGATGCTTTGAGTGGCAGGAAGGTACCAGGAATATCCAACTGCTTTGCCCTCACAAACAGGACTGGCCTCAAGACCCAACCCGGGGTTAGTTGTTAGGGACACCTTAGCCTGGACACAGATGGACAGAGCCCCGAGCCCACCCTCTCCGGTCCCTCTTGCCATAGGCAGCCTTCCCTAGTCCTAGGCCAAGCCAGCTGCAGCAGGAGCCTGGAAGCCTGCCCTCCCGGCCCTCTCCCTGCCTGGCCCCTGCCTCTGCTCTGGTTCTGCACCTCCATGAGCTCATGAAAAATTCATCCACTCCAACCTCAGCTCACACCCAACTCATTCCTGGGGGCCCTGCTTTTTGAAGGTTCGGTGTTCTTTTGGCTGCTAAGTGAGCAGCAGTGTCAGCACGCACGTGGGCACGTGTGTGGGTGTGAGACTGCATGTCCAGTGTCTGGATGCGCACCAATGGGTGTATTTGTGCCGTGTGCACATGGGAACCCACATCGACTCAACGGCCAGGCAGGCGGAACCGCAGCATCCAGCCGCGGGAGAGGGAAGAGGAAGCAAGGCAGGATGCGGGCTGGGAGGGCCATCCCAGGCCAGAGACCGCTCTAGACCCACCCGCCGGGAGGGCAGAACACCTGATACTTTGTCCTAGTTTTAACCGGCAGAAGCCAAGTCCTCGTCCTCGGCCTCTGTCTGAGCAGAGCTGGGCAGACAAAACATTTGAGAATGTGGTGTGTCTGTGCCAGTGGCATAGGTCACATGTGTGTGGATGGTGTGTGCACATGTGTGTGCATATTGTGTGGACACATGTGTGGATATTGCCTGAGTCAGAAAAGGGAGTGGGGACACAGCTGTTAGGTAGCTGACCCCTGGATCTTTCCCCCCAAGACCCGTCTTTCGACTCCACAGGTCCTGTCGCTGGGAGAAGCTCTACACGGGCCCGGCTCCCACGTCGATATAAGTGATCGGAGAGAAACTAGACTTAAGAGCCCCGGCAACGAAAAGTCGGAAAAGGTTATTTTTCTGGCCCTCTGTTTCCTGTGACTTGTTGAAGAGAAATATTACCCCTGCTCCTTTAGCTGTTCTCCCAGAGCAATAGGAGAGCGTGAAGTTATGAAACTGAGGGCACCTTCACCGAGCAATCGATTAGCAGCCGAGAGAGCTTGTGAATTGGCTGTCTGGACATTTCCAGTAATAAATTGTGAAATAGTCCATGAATAAGTAGTTGGCGGAGTTCAGAATTACCCCCTAGGAAACGTTGCAGGTCTGGAGACACATTACGCAGGCGAGCACCATTTTAATGCTCTGGGCTTTGGCTGTTAAATATGTATGCCATCCGCAAAGCACTTCCCGAAATTAATGGCATTTTACAGCTGCTCCGAAGGCAGCATATTTATATGGAGATGTATAGATTCAGGGGCTGTGGTGGCTTCACAAATGAAGTGCTAATTTTAGAGGATGGGGCCGGGGAGGGGAGTGAGGAGAGGGTCAGGAAGTGAGCTACCTCAGGGGCCTTTCCCAAAATGGGCTTCGGCTGCCAGCAACGATTTTTAACCTTTGGTGACATTGGGCATGGTCTCCAGGCTGGAAAGGTCACTGTGGTAACAGGCCACCCGGTACACAGAGAGAAGATAATAATTACATTAATAATAATAATAGCAGCTTACAGTTGCCAGGCCCTGCCCTAAGTGCTTTTCACAGTTGGACTCCTCTCATCCTTAAAACAGCCCTGTAAAGTAGGTTCTGCTAGTATCCCCATTTTACAGAAGGAGGTACACTGTGCCCGGGAATCTGTGTGTGGTTGGTAATCCCCTGGGAAAGATGGTACCTTCTCTCCAATTATTTTCTTGAGCCAACATTAGGGCCACCCGATGCAGTGGGGCAGTTTGCCGACTGCCCAAGAGCATCTGACCAAAAGGGTGAGTTGGGACTGAAATCCACGCAGGCCTTGCTCCTGGCCCCATGCTGGTTCCCAGGCAGCACCTTCCCGGAGACCAGTTAGCACAGAGGCAGCGTGCGCACCAGCCAAAGTCCCCTCCCCTCCAGGTAGTCCCAGCACCTGCTCCAGCCCCATCTGGATTCTGTTCTCCAGTCTTGTGATCTGCCCACTTGGTTGGAGGGTGGGGACAGGAAGCACCGAGGTTCAGCGTGGAGTCTAAGCCGAAGGACCCAACTTTCCACCCAATTAGACTGGGAAGCAGTTTTCTCAGAATCCCTGGAGAGACAGCCACCTCTTGGGTATTCAGACACTCCCCAGCTCTTTCTCTGAAGCGTCCCAAAGGACTTGAAAATCTGGAGTAGATCAGTTGTGGGGTGGGGTGGGATTTTGAAAGGCAGTGTTGCTGGGGATCCAGGGCCAGAGCCCCCCGGTAACAGCGGGAGCCTGGCAAGAGGCTGCTGGTGGGTTTCTGCACCCGCGGACCTCCGGTTGGGTCCTGGCTGACCCTTTCGTTGCTCACCCCGCTCCAGAGGCCAACAGTGTCGGGTGAATAGCCACACCCGTGGAGAGAACGATGAGATACCTGCATAATCAGGGGTGTACCCTTCTTGTGGGCTCGTGTTCAGGAGATTTCCAATACTCGTGCATTCTGTCGGCGGATGGTTTTCACCCGTTAGCTGAAGGCGTGAGGTTTTCTGACACGCGGGGGCGCCAAGATGGCTTTGGAAGGGTGAGGCCCAGAAAGAGGCTGCAGGATTGGATCCGAATTCCATCAACTCCAGTGCAACCTTGGGCAACTTACCGACCTTCTCCGAGCCTCCGTTTCCTCATCTATCAAAGGGCGATAATGTCACCTCCCTGGCCAGTGTGTGAGGCTTAAATCAAACAGCCTGTGAGAAAGTTGAAATCGGTGCCTGGCGTGTAGCAGGGAGCGTGTCAGTGTTGAGTCTGCTAAGTGTTCCGCTCACTCACCACTGCCTCGGGATGGGGATTGGTAAGGGACGCTGGCGGGCGGGACCAGCAGAAACACGGCCTGGCACCTGCACCGGGCCTCTGGACGGTGCCACGGCCTGGTTCTGCCACGTCAGGGCGCGCTGTTCCTCACTCCGTGTCTCTCAGGCTGGACGAGGTCAATCGCTACTTTCCACGGTTTTCCTGCCTCTTCTCCCAGTTATTCTTGGCAGGGTGGCCCGGGGTTTGTTTCTAAATGAGAAAGCAGAGCCGTGCCCTGTTCAAAGCCCTTCACTGCTTCCCATCACCTGGGAGAGGGAGTCTGCCCTGGGACAGCGCCCCCTGTGCTCAGGCCCCACAAGCTACCTTCCGAGGGCGAGGCACCTTGCGACCCAGGGCCTCCGGCACAACGAGGTGGTGGCGAGCTCACGCTCTGGGGCTGCTGAGTTCAGATCCTCTCTCCGGCGGATGGCGGAGCTCCCACGACTCGCGAATTCACTTTCTGCACCTATCAAATGGGATTATGAGTACCTACCCCTGGAAGGTTGAAATTAGGGTTAAATGAGGCAATGTCAGCTCTGCCTCTTGAGCCCTTCTGCTCTGCTGGGCCCCGTGCCAGGCCCTCCCCCAACACTACCCATCTGCCCTGGCCTTCGACATACACAGGCAAACTACCCGTCGTGGTTATGGGGAATCCCTCACCTGGCAGGTCCTGACTCTGGGGACTGAGAGCCTTGGAAAGAGAGCAGTATCAGGGAGTGTGTGGATCTAATCTTTTAAATGGGAGTTGAGAGAGACGTCAGGGAAAATACCTGGTGACTGGGCCGTCCGGTTCAGTGGTCTGGGTAGGGCCTGAAGACGTGTGATTCTGAGAAGCCCCCAGGTGACAGTGATGCTGCTGGTCTGGGGACCACACTTTGAGAACCGCTGGCCTGCACTGAGGGTGCACCAGACAATGTGTGATTCAGAACCAGTCTTGAGTTCAAACCCCTATTCCACTACTCACTAGCTCGGTGACCGCTGGACAATTAATCAGTGAATAGCTCCTGGGCCTCCAGTCTCGCCGGGGACACATAGGTGGCCATCTGGGAGGCACAGGGCGGGCTCTGGGAAACGTGCCTCCCCTCCCTGACGTAGCAGGCCATCCGTCCAAGCCACCCAAAGGATTTTTCTTAAACAAAGGCGCGGAGGTTCCAGCCCCAGCTCTCCAGCCCCAGCCGGCCTTGCCCACCCTCTGGCCTTCATCCGCTCCTCTCCTGTCTGCCCTGCAGGAGGAGCCCTTTGTCATGTTCCGGAAGTCCGACAGGACCCTGTTTGGGAATGACCGGTTCGAGGGCTACTGCATCGACCTGCTCAAGGAGCTGGCCCACATCCTGGGCTTCTCCTACGAGATCCGGCTGGTGGAGGACGGCAAGTACGGGGCGCAGGACGACAAGGGCCAGTGGAACGGCATGATCAAGGAGCTCATCGACCACGTGAGTGGGGCTGAGTCCCGCGTGCACATCAGGGTGGGGCCTCTGGCAGACGAGGGCCCTGGGGGCAGGAAAGATGGAGTCAAAGGCTGTGACCCGGTGTGAGGTGTGATGAGGAGCTCCCTCTGGTCTGCCTTGTTCTTGTGCCCAACTCCCAGACACGCCCCGCCGTGGAAGCACACACGCACTGGCCCCCATGAACTCAGAGGCCATCCCATCAGACTTTTTGATGAAGTGCCTGCGGTTCCTTTAAGAGCTACCAAAGGATGTCCCAGCCAGGTGGGCAAACTGCCAATGCAAAACACTTCATTCGGCAAACCCTGGGACACTGAGATAGATCCCTCGCTGTCTTGATAACGTTGGGTCCGATGGGCAGGTAGGTGGTCCAGGGAACCAAGGGCTGCAATGAAGGGGTGAGCAGGGCTCCGCTGGGAGGTACCCAGGAGGCAGATTCACTCAGTCTGAGATGGTAGAGCACCCAGGGGAGCAAGGAGCAGAAGCAACACATGGAGCTTTGGAGAGGGGGAGCAGGTGGTGGGACGGTCCTGGGGTTTGGGGGATACTAGGAGGAAGACGAAGAAAACCCACAATTCAGGGACACCACAGGAAGGGAAGTCAGGAGGCCCTGGGTTTGAGTTCTGTTTTCTCATTCATTGGCTGCATAAACTGAACCTCTCCAAGTGGCTTCCTCCTCTGTCGATGGGTGTAATTCCTCCCTCCTCATAAGATTGTTGTGAAGTACTAGGTGCAGGGCCCGGGCCACAGCCAGCCCTCAGCACACACATCACCATGGCTAGGAGCCCAGCTGTGGACCGCTGAGCCTAGGTTCAAGTCCCGGCTTTAACAGCTAGTAGATGAGCATCCAGGTGAGTTCACAAACATCACTGAGCCTCGGTTTCTTCACTTCTAAGATAGAGTACTCAGCCCTGGCCAGTTTGGCCCAGCGGTTAGAGCATCTGTGGACCAGAGAGTCCTGGGTTCGGTTTCCACTAAGGGCGCGTGCCTCGGTTGCAGTTTGTCCCCAGCCCCGGTTGGGGTCGTGCAGGTGGCAACCAGTCGATGTGTCTCTCTCACATCACATCGATGTATCTCTCTCTCTTTCTCCCTCTCTCCTTCCTGCTCTATCTGAAGATAAATGGAAAGATGTCCTCAAGTGAGGATAAAAAAAATAATAATAAAAAGATAAAAATAAATAAAATAAGATAGAGTACTCAGCAACTACCATAGCTCCTCCAGGCGTTGCGGGGATCAATGAGGCACCATTTGTACGGGCTCACCTGGCCCACACACTGCCTGCCTGCCAGCTCAGGGCTCTCCACTCTCCAGGCACATTTTTTGATCAAAGACCTGCTAAGGAAGGCAAGAACCTGATCTGTACTAGGCCCTTCTGTTCCTTCTCTCCTTTATCCTGACAGCTGGGTGAGGTAGGTACTATTGCTGCCACCCCTTATACAGACAAGGCCACTGAGGCAGAGGGAGGTGAAGGCCTAGTAACCTGTCTTAGGAGACCCTCTGCTTCTGAACCCCTGTGCTGTGGCCTCTGCAAAGGCCCAGGGCAGAGAAACGCTCATGCAGTAAGTCTTTGCGACCTGAAAAGTGCCGGCGAAGGGAGTTATTCTCATTTTGCCTCTCAGGCGGGGGCAGGCAGCATCAGGCCCTTCTGTTAGTCTTCCTGCCCCTGTTGGAGGGGGCTGCCACATGGGGTCCTTGGAGGTTGGAGCAGGGAGGACGCTGGAGCTCAGAGCAAGAAGGCTCAAGCAGGGAGTTAGTTTCCTGGGCCCCAGGAAGTCAGGTCCTGGGGAAGGCTGATGGGAGAGGTTAATGTAAAGAACATGAACTCAGCTGGGCTGGATTCCAACGCTGCCACTTACACGCTGTGTGCTCCTGGACAAGTTTCTTAACCTCTCTGTGCCTCAGTTCCCTCTCCTGTAAACTGGGAGTGATAATAGTAGATCCTCCCCCATGAGGCTGCGGTGAAGACTGAGTTCACACGTGTGCATTACAGTCGACACCGTGTCAGTACACGCTCCTATTGTTTTTATTTGTATCATCACAGTTCTTCCTTCGAGGCTGGGGCGGGGCTTTCGGAAGTCCCGTCATGTCCCTTAGTAGATCCTCCCCCATGAGGCTGCGGTGAAGACTGAGTTCACACGTGTGCATTACAGTCGACACCGTGTCAGTACACGCTCCTATTGTTTTTATTTGTATCATCACAGTTCTTCCTTCGAGGCTGGGGCGGGGCTTTCGGAAGTCCCGTCATGTCCCTGAGCTCATTTTCTAATTCAGCGCGAGTAACAATACCTGCCCTGCGTTCTTCCCAGCTGCTTGCGTGGGTCCTCCGAGACGGCTGCTGGGGAAGCAGCTCCTGGCTTGTGGAACCCGACATCAGCGGACAGGAGGGTTGTTGTCACTGTCATTAGTAATAACTGTAATTATTATGGAAATTAGTCAGTAGGCCCCGAGGCACCTGCAGGTACCCGCTCCCCATGCGCTTGTGCGTGGGGCTGTGGAGAGGGGCTCCCTGGTTTGGAGGCCGAGGTGAGCTGGGCTGCAGAGGAAGAGGGGGTCACGGGGAGGGGGAGCCACGTGAACCGAGCAGGGAGGGTGCCAGTCTCATTACCACCATCTCCAGCAGTCAGAGAGCTGTGAAGAGCCTCTTGCGAGGGGGTGGGTCAGAGAAACCCAGCAGCAGCCAGACCTTCTTGAGTGGACCCTCGGCTGGGGAAAGGAGGAGGCCCAGCCGTGGCCTCCGGGCAGCCCAGTCCCATGGAGGCTACAAGCCCTGACCGGACATGCAGGTGACCTTGTTAAACCAGATTCCCTACCGTTGATGAGCCCATTAATCCTAGCTTGGTGCCAATTTTAATATCATCATAACCATTTATTAGTGTCGTCAGATAATTAGTCTTCTCACTCGCTCATAGAAAGCGTGGTAAAGGCTCGGCAATATTATTACTTTCTTATTAGGGATCTGATCGTAGACATAAAAATGATGAATGCTAACTTCGCAAGGATCTGCCCCCAGAGGCCCATTGGCGGCCCTGGGTGGAGCCTCTGACCTGCAGGACTGAAGAAGTCCTTCCCTGACACACTGCTCACCTCTGTCCCAGGCCACATGGCCCTCCAAGGGGCCAGGGTTGTGGAGGAAGATGGGGCACCTGGAGGGCGCACCTCCCTCCTGCTGACACACTCACCTTCCCCCAAGTACCTCCAACTGTGAGAGCAACAAACGCGATTGGGCCGAGCGGTGCTTTCTCCATCCATCACCCCTCTCTCTCTCAAATCATCACTGTCCATTTTGACTGCCTACCCTCTCATTTCCCCTCTCTCGGAAGTCTTCTACTCACATCCATGCCTTTAAATTACCTCCATGTGTTTTAATGACTCTGGGTCCAGCACCGTTTAGCTGACAGTGGGAAAACTCTTCCTCCTCTCTGGCCTCCATCTCCACATCTATGAAATGGGGATGATTACAAAAACACCTCCACCTAGGGCTCATGGGAAGATTCAATGAGATATGGTGCAGAAATGCTTAGCAGAGTGTCTGGCACTCAGTAAATGCTTAGCACATGGGAGCTGTCCCGCTCATCTGCGTTCACTCCAAGGGCAGGGAATGCCGGTGTCGAAGTACGTACTTGAGTGAATGTGATAGCAGTGGGAGACCTGTCTTCTCAGCCATGGACATTCCGGTGGGCCACAGTGGGCCAGGATTTAGACCTCGCCCCTCTGAATCCAAACAGGACCTGACTCACATTGATCAGACTCACAGAGAACTGAGGCACACACCAAGGCATTACCCCCTTACATTACTTCGGTTATCGGCCTTTCCTGATACCTGCCATCCAGAAGTTCTGTCCTGGTGCCAGGTGCCCATGGTCCTTGTAGGGAGGGTGGAGGCAGAGCCCCAAGTGTAGAGAGCCTGAAGCCAAGAGGAAAGTCCTGGCATGGGGCTGGACACACACACAGAGTATTGATGAATGTTGAATTTGCACATGTACTTGCGCACCTTCTCCAGAGACCAAAGGGAAGGTCTGGTGTCAAAGCCACAACCCCATCACCCACTGTGTCTCCTGCCTTCAAACCAGGAATCAGATATGAGTTCTGGCCTGAATGCACTGGTGTCTGTGTTGCCAAGAAAGGATTTGCCAAGCCACCTTCAGGCTGGGCCAATGCACTTTGAAGCAAGGCATGCAGGGAGCTCACCTGCAGGTGGCAGGAGGTGAGATGCTGTCAGCTTGTCCCTGTGTGAGGTTGGTCACAGCCAAAGGTCTGTTATGGAGCATAAGAGAGGTCTGATCCAAGCACCTATGACATGCCAGACCTGGACAGTGACTGGAGATGTGAGCAACCAGGTTTAATTTGGGAATAAACTATGAATCAGCCATATTAAATTTCATTACAAGTTCTATTGGTGCTGCAAAGGGGCATGTGTATAGGGGACTTTGGGAGCATAGAACAGGGAGAAATGACTCAGGCTTCCCTGTGGAAGTGACTCTTGAGCTGAAATTGAAAAATGAGGAAGAGATGCTCAGGGCATGGATAAGGGCACCTCAAGCCTCTTTCCTCATCAGGAGTCCTGCAGCATTGGCAAGACTGGACCTGGGCAGGACCTGGGCAGACACCCATCTTGTGCAGGGAGTGGGGAAGAGGGATTCTTTTAGAGAGGGGAAGGAAGGCTGTGGAGGGTGCACCCCTCACAGTGTGCCTTGAAGCAGGGAAAACGTGCTGGACCGTCCTAAAAGACAGACGCAGGACAGCCCCTGCCAGGACTCAGGAATCAGCCATTCTCCCAGGCCTGGGGAAAACACAGGCTTCATTCCTCAGCATGAGGCGTCTATCAGCTCAGGAGTCCTGTGCGCGAAGCACAGGTAATGACCCCTCAGTCAGCACTTAGGAATTTTCTAGCACTTGTACCCATCTCTTTAGATATGTATTGGCTGTTCCAAGGTTGTCAGTGGCCACAGCGCTGATTGGTAAGTGTGGTGGCTGGCTGGTGGGTCATC